AGGATAGGCAAAGTATATAAAATAATATGCATAAACCCAATTATAATAATTGATAACTGATTAAGGGATGAAAATATGAGTCAATATGTTTAGTTGTCAAATGAGAGGAAAGACCACTATGCTTCATTTTTCCGTAAAATCCCATATTCCAAAAACATTTTTGACACTTAAATAAAGAGTAAAATTATTCTTACTACATTAAAAACTTAGAGCTTTGGAAAAGATATTTTTAAATGTGTCCATCCTTTACCAAAAGAAGACAACACAGTTTGAGAATACAAATATTTGATGTTCTTAGTTTGATGTGAAAACAATTGGTAAGAGTTTCTTTTGAAATTAGATATTAATGATATATTCTGTAATTTATATTTACAAAACAATCAAATTTTCAAAACATTATGAGTAGAATATATGTTCAAAAAGGTATACAGAAGGGAGGAAAAACTTGAGGTTCAGAGACAAACTTCTCTCAGTGTTGTTCTTTCTGTACCAACGTTCACACAAAAAACCCACTCATTCCATATAGAACAGTGGTTCTCATCTAAGGACAACGCACACACACGCACACCAGGAGATATTTGGCAATATCTCAAGACATGCTTGGTTGTCACAGCTGGGGGAGGAATACTATCATCTGTCACTAGAGGTCAGGGCTGGTGTTGGAACATCCTAAAATTCACAAGAGAGTCCCCACCAGAGAGGAGTTGCTGTTCCAAACTATCAGTAATTCTGAAGATGACATAGAATAAGCCAAACTGGGTTGTGCATCGGTAAAACTGGAGGACTAATTGGGTCACCTGGATGGCACAGTCAGTTAAGCATCTGACTTCGGCTCAGGTCATGATTTTGCAGTTCATGGGTTTGAGCCCCACATTGGGCTCAACGCTTGACAGCTTGGAGCCTGCGGCCTGCTTCAGATTCTGTGTCTCCCTCTCTCTCTGCCCCTACCCTGCTCACATTCTATCTCTCTCTTTCTCTCTCAAAAAATAAATATATATATTTTCATTTTAAATGGAGGACTAAAGGGGTGTCTGGGTGGCTTTGTCGGGTAAGTGTCTGGCTTTGGCTCAGGTCATGATCTCGCAGTTCGAGAGTTCAAGCCCTGCGTGGGGCTCTGAGCTGACAGTTCACAACCTGGAGCTGCTTTGGATTCTGTGTCTCCTTCTCTCTCTGCCGCTCTCTGGCTCATGCCCTGTCTCTGTCTCTGTCTCTGTCTCTCTCTCTCTCCAAAATGAATAAATGTTAAAAATAAAAATAAAAATAAAGAAAAATGAAGGACCAATTATACTCCTGGAAAGCAATTCTGAAAAGATATATGTGAGGACTGCAAATCAGTATGTATGTCTTACATACATGCATACCATGTGGATGTTTCAGCATATACATTTTATTAAATAAAATAAATTATTTATATATAATAATTGCACCATAATATTATTGATTGCCTCAGTAATTGCACTATGTTATTAGAAGCTGTTAGTTGAACACTTGCTATGTTAGATACATTCTCCCAGTTTCTGGGATGCAAAGATGATTGGTATATTGTCTCCAAATGCTAATATTGAGATGTAGGAAGCCATTAACATATACATTATTCTTTTCACTTTGTTTTGGTTAGAAAACTAAAATGAATCCTTCCAAAGCTGCCTTAAAATAACTAGCTCCATAGCTGCTGTTTGGGGGCATAATTTACATAATATTTATTCCTTATTTTAATAAAAATGTGTCATTCACATGGGCCTCTAGGTGTAAACAGTGAATAAAAGACAGAAAACATTAACAAACACAAAAGCAAGCTATACTTCCACCTTTCTCAGGGACCAAATGTTTGTACTAATTAAGGAAAGCACTTTGAAAAGATGTATCTTGCAATGAGCCCTGAAATGCAATTAACTCCCAGTTTGTAGAATTGATAATGAAAGGGAGTGTGAGTCTTACAGGCATTGGTGAAAAGCTTCCTGACTTCAGTCTTTGTGTTTCCATTTTCTAAGCTATTAGTAACATTCTCCAGATTTCTAAGAACATACCATGTCTAGCTTTTGTCTCTTTTAACTCAAAACAAGAATGTGCACTTTGCAGCAATATAACCATCACTTTTAAAAAAATAGAATCAGGACCAGGCTATTTACTAGCAACGTAGAAACCCTTGATTTAAACAGACTGTACTCATTTCCCAGTGTATTACAAATGGAATTTATGAATTTCTTGAATAGCTACTGAGAGATGAACAATCCTATGTTGGACATGAGAAGTGAGAGAGCTTTCTAGAAATGTGAGCTTATATCATGTGACCTTTTAATGGCACATTAAAAATAGTGATTGTTATTTGCTTGCTATCTGTGGGCCAGGGGCTCTAAATAGCATGCTAAATGCTCTTGAAAGAAACCTAAAGTGTCTATGTTATTCATCCCATTCTACAGACGAAGAATTGAGGGGTCAGAAAGTTGAGTCATTTGGTCAAGTTCACATAGTGATAAAGTGGCCGACTCCAAATTTAGAT